TTATATATATATATATATATATAATTATTCATTTAATGAACTACGTTTGAAAGAATATCAAGAATACTTCGAGCTAAAAAACAAAAATGCTTTAAACATCATTTATAATTTGTTTTGTGCATTACAAATGCAGCTTAAACCTTATTATTATGACTAAGTTATGAAAAAGTCCCTTAAATCCCATAATAACATAAGTGAAAATTTTACTCTGATCTTAACCTTGATAACTATCGTGTTGCTTAATGACTACGTGACTATGCATTCTTCAAGGTTCTTTTGCTATATCAACATAAAGATAAACACCAAAAGTCATGTCAGGAAAATAAAAAACAAACCATATTTGAAAGCCGCCTAAAAGACAAAAACGTGTAAAAGCTCTTTCATAAGAGATGGCATATCATCTCTAAAAGAAAAGTACTAAAAATGATACTGATTATTCGTATATTAATCCATCGATTTTAAAACATTCTATGAACATGCCTAAGGGCAAATCGTAAATTATGATAGATAGAAGCTGTGTTGGTACTTCAGGCAACTTTTGTTTTGGATCGAATTTAACAAGTTTCGTTTGTTATGGATTTCGCTCAAAGCTACACGAGGGCTATCTGCGCTAGACGTCCCTAATTTAGCAGTGTAAGACTAAAGGAAGGCAGCTAGTCATCACCACCCACCGCCAACTCTTGGATTAATCTTTTACCAACGAATAGTGGGATTGACCGCACCTTTATAACGCCCCACGGCTGAAAGGGCGAGCATGTTTGGTGTGACGGAGATTCGAACCCGCGACCCGCAGATTGCGAGTCGAGCTCCCTAACCACCCGGGCCTCGAATTTAACAAATGGAAGATTAAAAGCTTTATGATTTTTTTATTTTCGGAATAGCGGTTTAAGTAAACCCAATAAAAAATTCATAACATTCTATTAAATGATATTTTAACACAAAATAAACTTGCTCATCTCTGTAAGGATACAAAGGAAGCTTTAAAACATTAAAATAAGACAAAACAAAACGCTGAAATAATAATATCTTCTTCAACTATCGCACTAAATCTTGTAAAATCTACAAAGTATTTCTGATGTTATGGCAGACCAAACTACGACGAACAGAACGTATTTTAAACGTAGTTTTCTATCCAGAAGTTAAAGTGTCTCTGAAGACTACAAAGAGTATTTTTAATGGGATCAGCTCACTTGGTTCGGTTATGTTTTTTTTGTTTTGTTTTAGTATGTAAGATCGACTTTAGAAGAATCACTTCTGAAATTCAAAATAATTTCTCTTTCGACGGAAAGATTTATTACTTTACCAGACTTAAACGCTACACTTTTAAACCCCAAAATAGGAAAATCAAGATGCTTATATATAGTTTAGACTGATGTTTTTTTTTAATACAAAGCTACACAATAGACGCTCTGCTCTCTGTCCACCGCGGGGAATAGAACCTCGGATTTTAAGTTCGTAAACTTATCGCTGACTTACCGTGGGTTTGTTTGTTTTTGACAAAGCTACACGAGGCCTATCTGCGCTAGCCGTCCATAATTTAGCAGTGTAAGACTAGAGGGAAGGCAGCTAGTCATCACCACCCACCGCCAACTCTTGGACTACTCTTTTACCAACGAACATTGGGATTGACCGTCACATTATAGCGCCCCTACGGCTGAAAGGGCGAGCATGTTTGGTGGGACGGGGCCCTAACCACCTGGCCATGCCGGGCCCTTAAAGTGGGACATTAGAAGCTGGATATGCTACATAGCGTTGAAAAAAGGAGGTCACTAGCTATTTTGTTTCTCCCCCCATTATTTGAGTCCAAAATAGTGGTTCGCTACATACAGATAAATATTCTAAAATCAATTTGATAGATTGAGATAAAGTTGCGATAAAATAAGATTCATCTATGAATGTCACCAAAGTTGGTTATTGAACTATTTTATTACATTAATTTTCTGTTTTTTATTTCTTAATTTTCCTTCATATCTTGGTGCTCACTGCATCAAAATAGCCCAAACTGTCACTCTAATTGTAAAAAATAAAATAAAAATCAGAGCGTGCTCTCTCTCTAGTTTCCACCTGCCTTTAGTAGGTTCACGCTTTGCCTCTGACGGTTGTGATTGATTACTACAGGTGTTCCATTATTATTATTTTTTATATATAAACGATTCTCATACCTAAAGACAATGCAATCGGAACTAACATTTCATGTAACTTGTAAGTCTTTTTTTCAAAATTATGTATACCATTAAAGTTTTGGTTGACTATAATAGAGACAAACGTAAATGATATATTTTATTATTATTATTTTTTACAGAACTAAAACGTTAAAATGATTCACGTTTTCTTAGTCTAATCATATGATTTTATCGGTAAGAGTTCCATATGGCACCCCCACTCAAGTGGTGCACGTACAAACTTCATAGAGAATCAGTGGTTGTGTGTCAAAAGACAACTACCAACTACACATACCAGGGCAAAGACATTTGACAAGCATTTGTGTGAATACATGTGGAGAACACTATATTCTGATAAAAGTAGCATTTTTGATGCCTTTATACAAGACATTTGTAAAGTTTATCCCCAAAAAGATTGTACGTCTAATTAATGAAGTAAGTGGTATAATAATGTATTAAAATTATCAGATCATACTATTAATATGATTTATTAATACATAAATATTACTTTGATGATTTTTTTTTTAAATTGAGTGGGGATGCCATATGGAACTCTTACCATTTTATCATTTGATACTTAGAAGGACAATGGAGAAGATGATGGTCGAGCGATTTTATGAACTGAATAACACTGTGGTCTGAAAAGGTAACAAGAAGTGAAAATATTTCAAACAGACACCTAATGACGACAAATGTATCTCAACTGATTATCCAAGAACAATAATCTTCTACTTTCATTACTCTCGATCCAGTTCTTATTCTAATGAACTGGATTTAATTTAAGAGATGAGTTGTTTATATGGGCAATTAAAATTAGTTTGCCCTACCTAAAGAATTACAAGAGACGTGCGTGCTTCACAAGTGACAGCGAACGCGGAACGCGAGCATGTACAATATTCACAGCTCGCGACCTAAGCCTTTATATGACCAACGGCATGCTTCGAACTACTGATCAAAAAGCCGAACACTGATCTTGTTGTGAACTTCTGGTAAGTACTTCGTGCTTGTAGGCCTAACCGAAACTCGACTGTAACTTAGATAGATTTTCCACCGAGACGTTTATGAACATAGCTCATATTCTTCCAGTGATTTAGGGTTCAGCATGCAACGTTATTTTAGTCGGAAGTTGATAGTAAAACCTCATGTACATGCCAACCCTTATCGCAGTTCTCTACAAGATCACACAGGTAACCTCGCAGCTGGAAGCCAAGATGACGTCAAAACAACGTGCAATATAATGCCGCTTCATATTATCATTCTTGGGCAGTGGTACACTGATAATGGAACTTTTGCGTTAGTATCTGAATTTCCTTCTTCAACCTATAATTTTGTTACAGAAAAACAAACAAACAGGGTTTAATATTAATGACAATCTCCAACACGGCAACTTTGAAATCGCGCGTTGTGACGTCAATAACAAACTACACAATATTCTAATCGCGCATTGTAATACCATATAATGAATTTTTGAATATTCTAATTGCGCAAAATTATGTCCTTTTATTGATCGTTGTTTGGTCAAGTGACCTGCGAAGGTCAAATACACCCTGGACCTTTACCTC